CATAAATGTTTTTATTATTTATACTTTAGGATGGGTCTTCAGTTGGTATAAACTGAGCAGCTCGAGGCTAGGTCTGCAGGAGCAGTCTTAAAGTGTCCTTGGGTTTGATTATAAGAGGTGCACTAGACAACAGCATTTCCAGGCCTTGCATCCAGCAGGTCTAGAGGAATTCCTCGTTTATCTCCCTGATTTCTAAAAGCAAACTATAAAATGGAAGTCTGCCCTGTGAGCTAGACCAGTTCAGAGCCACCGAGAAACCTCAAGATGGCATCTCAGAACCTACTGGAGTTCTGAGAAAAACCTGGGGGTGTGGGGGGAAAGCCGTCTGTGCTTTCTGCTTTTTCACTATACTCAGACTAGTTTTCTGAAGTTTGTATCTTGATCCCTACAAAAGGTTTCTCACAAAAGAACTGTTCAGTGATGTCACCAGACTGGACTGGAGAGACTGGACTGAGCCCTCCGTGGGGGATGAGTAGAGCTGTGGCCTCGGAGCCCCTTTCTAACCTTCAGGCCACAGAATTTGTCTCGATTTTAAACGTCTCCCCTCTATTTGAAACGTCCAGCAAAGCAGTGGTGTAGTGCAGTTGCCAAGCAGAACGCGATTTCTGATTTACCCTCACCCAAAACTCGTGAAATTCTCATCCTCCTCCATAGCAGGTGCTAGTCCTGAGGCCGGGGAAGCTCTGCTTGAAGACAGGACACAGCTCTTTTCCGGGTGGAACGAATTAGAACACAAGCCACTTGCCTGACTCTTACATGTGTCCTGTTACTAATACACCAAATGTACTAACTATTTAGGAAGAGCTTGCCCTGTTAAAATTGGTACTACATGGTTAGGTCCAGCCTATGCTTGAGCGGGGAAGTAGTTTTGTCTTCTGAGTCAGTTTTGCAGTGGATGAGCACAGGACGGGTGACCCTTCGATCTCCGTAAGGACCGCAAGCAGCGTCTCTGGCGCAGGGACAGGGACACTCAGACACCTTTTGTGTCTGACACCGGTGCTCCGCTGTGGCTCCGTTTCTTTTAAGCAGTTTCAGAAGCCTGCAAGCCCCCGCCACTGCCTGCACATGCCTGCGGACGCGGGTGCCTTGACTTGTCAGGTCGATCTGAGTCTCGGCTGTTAGGAGGCTAAAGCTGGGTGCTGCTTTGCCCCGGCGCCATCGCAGCTGCGTCACCAAGGGTCCTGCTGTGCTGGGCGTTGTTCTCCTGGCCCGGCAGCACTCGCCTTTGCCTACTGCCCTGCAAAGGGTGGTGGGTGTAACCTCAGTGGGCAGGAGAGGGCTGCGTGGCCACGGTTCCCTTGCAGGGTGGGAGGGTACGTCGTGCCAGCCGATGTAGAGCAGGGAGGGCGGGGGCCACGTGCAGGTCCTGGGTGGCAGTTACCTGACCCTCACCCCAGTACGTGGGGTTGTGTCTGTCTGAGCCCTCCCATCACTTGTGTGGGCTGGGGGAGGACGTGCAGGTGTACGAGGCCAGTGTTCTCGGAGCGGGGAGAGCACCTGGGTTACAGAGGAGCAAGGAGATGCTTACACAGCAGAAGTCCCGATGCATTTTTCTCAGCAGATGCTTTTCACCATTGCAGTGCAGCAATAAATCTACTCCAACAAGGACGTACCAACGCAGGGGTAATGCCAGTGAGCATCCCATGCCCGTGCCCGGGAATCCCCGGGCTCACACCCCACTGCCCCTTGGCTCACGGCTCCCTGGGGGGGGGAGATACTCCATTTCTGGGGCCATGAGCGGGCCCGAGCCTCGCCCAGCCGCTCGCTTGGCTGCAGGTGTGCTTTTTTTAAGAACAAAACAAAGGAGTTGTTATTCTCCTTTAGCCGCTTCTCCCTGAGAGCAGAGCCTAGAATCAAGTGCGGGGGGTTGTGACTGAGCGCAGGGCTGGCACAGGAAGGATTCGGGCCTGTAAACACCAGCGGGAACGGTGACCTCTCCTGCCTGACCCTGCAGCTGCCCCTGCACCCGCATGTGGGGCTGTAATTTCGGCCATGCTGGCCCAGGCCGAGGGGTGCCGGCTGCCTGCGGGTCCTGCGCGGGGAGACGGTGCTGAGCTTCAAGGGCTTGTCACGGCCCGTCCTGCGTGTGTACTCACACGTGTCCTCTGCATTGCTCTCTTCTCCTCCAGGCTTATGCAATGATGCTGTCCCTGTCTGAGAACGCTCCCCTCCACACGTCCTCCCAGAACTCTCTGGGCGCTTGGTTGGACATGGCAGGAGCAGCTTCAGAGTCGGGGAGCTTTAACCCCATCAACCACCTCTGAGAGGTCAACAAGGCACTGGCCAGAGTCCAAGCGAGGAGGCGGAGGTGCTGCAATTATCCTAGCAAAAATCCTAGCAAGCAGAAGATGGATGAGAGGGCCTCAGGGAGTCGTCTGGACTTTTGGCTGAGAAGGAAACCTGTCGCATCCGACCTACAAGTCCTGCATTTTTATCTCTCCGAAGTTTTCATTTCTAATTTATCAGAACGAACCTCTCCAAAACTGGATAACCCCGATGCAGCCCCAGGATTTCACGGTCTGTAGGAATAGCATGAGCAAGACACGAATTGCAACAGTGCAATCAAACATTGGCCCCTCCAACGTTACAAAGCGGTGTCGCTGAGCCAGTAACGCCTGCGTGTAAATGAAAGCTTGAAACCATTCGGGAGCATTTCCTTCCGCTTCGGCTGAATAGGGAAGTGATGAGGAAAGAGCCAGGTGTGCCCTGTCCCGGTGCAGCTCTGACCCAGTCACCGGAGCGATACCAGGGAAGGGTAAATTCAACCCATTTCATTGACCCCCCCCTAAAGAATTTGGAACTCTGTACTCCCACAGAAATGCCGTCCTACCCTTTGTTCCCCACAAACCCCCGGCCCAGCGCAAAGCTCCGGAGCAGGAGCCCACCCGGCCTGCAGCCACGCCACACGCAGCGTCCTGGCAGAGCCGTCGCCGTCCCAGAGCCATGCTGAGGCTGGGATTGTCCATCTGCTGTGCCAGCACGTGGTCACGGTCAGCGGCTCTGCCCCGGCCCTTCCGCCCGTGCCGACGCTGTGGGGTTGAGCGTTCTCCTCCTCTGCTGGTGCCCGGGAGCTGGAAGCATCCGCGGTGCTTGAGGAAAAGCTGCGCTGGGGCAGGGCTGCGGGCACGGGGGACGCCGGCGCTTGGCCCTGCGCTGCCTGGGAACGCTGGGCCTGGCCCAGCAGAGCGGGCCCGGGGTGGACCCGTCCCTGGGGAGGTGAAGGCGTGGGGGGGAGCGGGTCTCGCCGGAGGAAGGGCGGTTCGGACACGGGAGAGTTCAGACGCGCGTCGTTCGGACACAGGAGAATTCTCATTTATCTCCCAGGGATTTTTTAGTGACACCCGCTCAGTGTTGATAGAATCCGGGGACTGTGGCAGAAACTTCTGCAGTTGTTTCGGCGTGCTGGGTGGCTGCTCT